TTGCTCTCGCTTCTCTTGCACGCCTCCTTCGCAACACATCCGCTTTCTCTGACTTCCAAAAAATATTTAGAGTCTGGAGAGAAAAGTCTGACGAGAGTTCTTCTCCTTCTAAAGGCTCCTTCATAATGTCACGATCTCTCGTTCAGCCATTCTTTCTTCTCTTCTATGTTCCCTTTCTTGCCGAAGTAGTTCTCTTTCTCTCTCATCAGCATCAGCTTCAAATTTCTTCTCTCAAAAGCTGCAGCTTTTGCATCCTCTCTAGCCTTATCAGCCTCAAATTTAGCCATTTCCCGGGCCAAAATTCAATTCACCTTGGCGGCAAAGATCAATTCATCACTATATTCCATATACTTTGCATATATCATTTGGAAGCTTTGGAAGCATTACCTTTTCTCTTTGAAGCCTTCTTACCTTGAGGCCTAATTGGATAACGGGTCGACCCCGACGCTTGTTCAACGGGGGGCGTTTCAGGCACTTCTTCATCATCTTCATCATGATCATGCGAGGCATGCTCAGGTGTAGAGTGTAGAGGGGTGCTGTTCATGAAAAACTTCTGGACCGACATGCACAACTCTAAATTTAGGACAATCTTTGACAATATTCCAACATTCAAACCGGGTGAATGTTTTGTTTTTGCTTTTGGTTTTGGCACCATACCAAGCTTGTGCTTGAAGTTCCTACACAAACAAATAATTATAATGAGAATAGGTAACAAATAAATAATTATAATGAAAGTATGTAACAAATAAATAATACAAACAAATAATTATAAATGAAAGTAGCTAACAAATAATTATAATGAAAGTAGGTAACAAATAAATAATACAAACAAATAAATATAATGAAAGTAGCTAACAAATAATTATAATGAAAGTAGGTAACAAATAAATAATACAACCAAATAATTATATGAAAGTAGGTAACAAATAATAATACAAACAAATAATTATAATGAAAGTAGCTAACAAATAATTATAAATGAAAGTAGGTAACAAATAATACAAACAAATAAATATAATGAAAGTAGCTAACAAATAATTATAATGAAAGAAGATAACAAATAAATAATACAAACAAATAAATATAATGAAAGTAGCTAACAAATAAATAATAATATTGTTACCTGATCCGTTAAATTTTCCCCACTTCGAAGATTACCACTAGCTTGTGCCAAGGCGTCTCTCCACGTACTAAACGATTGACTAAGTAATTTCCAACGACTGGACATCGATTTCCTTAGTTCTTTGCCCACCCATTTTCTCAAGATAATTGGTATGAATAAGACTCCACATTTCTCGCAACTGCATCTCATTACCCGTAATCGAATCATGAGTAACTTGAACCCAACTAGTACACAACGCAACATCTTCAAGAAGCGTCCAATTCGTACCTGGTTGAGTAGTCATTTTGTTGGAAAAAAATTGGATTGAAACTTTGAAAGAAAGATAGGAATGTGGTTGAAAGTAGTTGAGAAAATATGAAATTGTGGTGTAGGGTAGAAGATAATGAGAAGGTATTTATAGGTGAAGTGAAATCAAAATTTTTTATAATTTTTCATAATTTTTTTTTTCGGATTTTTAAGAATTTTTTTAACATTTTTTTTTAATTTTTATTCACCTAATTAATCTCTGCCGTTGGATTTAAAAAAAATTTAAATTCCAACACTCCAGATTGTGCCACGTGTCACAACGGTAACATTTTTAGATTTTTAAACTGTTTTTTCTTTTTTTTTTAATTTACAAAGCCTAATAACGTGGACCGTTGATCTTAGATCAAACGGATGAAATTAAATTAGATTTTTAAATGTTTTTTACCGTTGGAAATCCAACGGCCCATAAAATAGGACCGTTTCAATCAAACGGACATGGGGAAGCCACGTGGCTTCCCCAACGGTAACTTTTCAAAACTGAAATCGCGGGCCCCTGGCCTGTTTTTTTGTCGGACGACTCGCGCCCACGCGCGCGTGAAACGCACGCGCCTGACGCAGCCCTCGGGCTCTCGGGCTGGCAATCCTCGACGGGCCTGCTCCTCGGGCGTCGCCTGTCGCTCGGGCTTCCATACGCTGGAGGTCATCCCCTCAGCAATTTGCTACTGTTTGACCCACTGGCCCCCGAGCAACCTCCCCCGCTGGAGGTGCTCTTAGAGCAACTCCACCCTTGGAACCCTCCCCCCAGGCAATCCACTATTCAATCCACCCTGTGAACAGTAACTGCCCTAATGAACAGTAACTACCTTTTGCATCTCCACCGTTGCACTTGAATAGCCTTGACAATAGGCAATAAAATATTATTAATTTTTTTTTACAAAATAATACTAAATAAATTTATTTGTAATTTCTGATAAGATATTTTAAATCGTTTTCGTTGCGCCATGTGTCATGTACCCAAAACGACTATTATTAGTCATAGATTTCGATAAGATTTTTATCCAATGTCATCGTGCCACGTGTCGTTATCTTTTCAGAATCTTTGAGGATAGATTTCGATCAAATTTTAAATCGTTCTCGTTGCACCACATGTCATTATCCGAAAAGATAATTATTAGTGATGTATTTCGATAAGATTTTTATCCAATGTCGTCGTGCCACGTGTCGTTATCTTTTCAGAATCCTTTAGGATAGATTTCGATCAGATTTTTAACGAATGACGGCATGCCACGTGGCACTATCTACAACTTAATCATTTCAGAATCCTCCATATAATCCATCATCCATCCTTTTAAATCTCACACCAATTTTCTCAATATCTCTATCATTATTCATAGTTTCTACTTATAATGTCTTATTCTTCAAGCATGATGTGGGAAATCGATCAAGAAGAGGAAGAATTGTTTAACCAATTTGTGGTGCTAGGATGATTTTCTCTTGTCGTGCTAAGACCATCTCTTCTTGCTCTCGCTTATCTTGCACGCCTCTTACGCACCACATCCTCTTTCTCCGACTTAAAATATTTAGAATTTGGAGACTTCCCTTTTAAAGGCGTGTTCATAATCTCACGATCTCGTTGAGCCATTCTTTCTTGTCTAACCAGTTCCATTTCTTGCCTAAGTAGCTCTCTTTCTCTCTCATTAGCTTGAAATTCTCTCAACAGTTGCAGCTTTTGCCTCCTCTCTAGCTTTATCAGCCTCAAATTTTGCCATTTCCCGCGCCAAAGTCAATTCACTATGGCGAGTAAGTTCTTCCATGTACTTTGCATAATCATGCTTGGAAGCACTTCCTTTTCTCTTTAAGCCTTCTTACCTTGAGGCCTAATTGGATAACGGGTCGAACCCGACGCTTGTTCAGGAATGGGAGTTTCGGGCACTTCTTCTGCATCATCTTCATGCGAGCCATTATCAGGTGTAGAGTGTAGAGGGGTGCTGTTCATGACAACTTCTGGACCGACATGCACAACTCTGAAATTTAGGACAATCTTTGACAATATTCCAACATTCCCACCGGTTAAATGATTTATTTTTGGTTTTGGTTTTGGTACCATACCAAGCTTGTGCTTGAATTAGCTACACAATGGGGGAGAAGAAATAATTATAATCAGTGTAGGTAACAAATAAATAATACAAACAAATAATTATAATTAAAGTAGGTAACAAATAAATGATACAAACAAAAAATTATAATCAAAGTAGGTAACAAATAAATAATACAAACAAATAATTATAATTAAAGTAGGTAACAAATAAATAATACAAACAAAAAAGTATAATCAAAGTAGGTAACAAATAAATAATACAAACAAATAATTATAATTAAAGTAGGTAACAAATAAATAATACAAACAAATAATTAGAATGTAAATTTGGGTATAGTACAAACAAATAAATAATATATTGTTACATAATCCGTGTAATTTTCCCCACTTCGAAGATTACTACTAGCTTGTGCCAAGGCGTCTCTCCAAATAGTAAACGATTGGCTAAGTAATTTCCAACGACTAGACATCGATTCTTTGGTTCTACTCCCACCCATTTTCTCAAGATAATTGGTATGAATAAGACTCTACATTTCTCGCAATTGCATCTCATTACCCGTACGCGAACTATAAGTAACTTCAACCCAGCTAGTACACAATGCAACATCTTCAAGAGATGTCCAATTCGTATCTGCATCAGTAGTCATTTTGTTGAAAAAAATTAGATTGAAACTTTGAAAGAAAAATAGGAATGTGATTGAAAGTAGTTAAGAACATATGAAATTGTTGTGTAGGGTAGATGATAATGAGAAGGTATTTATAGAAAAATAGAAACATTTTTTTAAAAATTTTCAGAAATTTTTTTTTCTGATTTTTTGCAATTTAAAATTTTTTTTATTCAAATAATTAATCTCTACCGTTGGATTTAAAAAAAATTAAATTCGAACACTTCAGATTGTGCTACTTGTCACAACGATAACTTTTCTTAATTTTAAAACTATTTTTTAATTTATAAAGTAGATTAATATCAACCGTTGATCTCAGATCGAACGGTTGATATTAAATCAGTTTTTTTATTACTGTTTCAAATCGGACGGCTCATATTAAAGAGCCGTTGAGATCAAACGGACCATGGGAAGCCACGTGGCTTCCCAACAATCACCTGTTGAAATTGGTGCGCGGGCCTTGTGCCCTATAAAGCTGTTGGCTGACGCGCCCCCACTCGCGAGTGTGGGGCACGCGCCTGACACAAAAAAAATATAAAAAGGACCGACGCCAGGCCTGGCGTCAGCCTGACGTCACACCCTCCTCGGGCTGCATGGCTGGCAATCCTCCACGGACCTAGCCCTCGGACTCCCACCTTCAATCGAGCTGCCCAACACTGGGGCCTTATCCACCGGCCCTCGGGCCCTTTCCCTTTGCTTGTCCCCCGATCAACCACCAAGGATGGAGTTGCTCTTAGCATTCGGCGGTAGCGGATTGGCGGGCCATTCAAAATTTAGGAGAATCTGGAAATAGAAATTAAAATAATAATATAATTACATATCTGGAACGTGCCCATCCTTTTATCTTTTTATTTATTTATTTATTGATAATTATGTCTGCTATTTTATTCTGATTAATTCTCTACCTCTTCCTCTCTAATCGCTGGCTCTGACACTTTTTCAGAGCTCTCCCAATTTTCAACCCCTCTTTCCAGACGATGAAATTTCACAAAAATTAGGGTTTTGTGGGGATTCTTGTGATCCCATTCCAAAAGGGCTTCCATTTCACCTAATTGTGGAACGTTGTGGAAGGGAGGATTTGGGTGTGTGGATATATATGTATTTTGAATTTGAATTTGAATATATATTGGGTGGTGTATGAAACCAGAATCTGAGAGTTGAGAATGGAAGTGGGAAGGAGAATATCGGCAAGTCCTCGGCCGTGCTCCGTCCGGCGAGTGGTGGCGAAGAAGAGGGGTAGCTCCGATGGGTTCGTAAACAGCGTGAAGAAGCTTCAGAGGCGTGAGATTTCTTCGAAGCGTGATAGAGCTTTTGGGATGAGCAATTCCCAGGAGAGGTTCCGCAACATGCACCTCGTGGTTCGTTTTCATTTCATTTATCTCATTTCCTATTAGTATTATTAATCCAATGCAATTGAAAATTTTCAATTTTTTTTCGCCTGAAAGTTTGTTGAAATTGTTTTGTGCTTGATGTTTTGCTGGGGATTCAACTTAGAGCAATTCTTGTAAGCAAAGTAAGATACTTGAAACTGAATTCGAATTCGGATTTAGTGATAATCCTAACATTTTAGAGATGTTTTGATCTGGTGTTTCCCACCCGGCTCATATCATTGTAGCCTCGGTTTATGTACTTTTTGATTGCCCAGGGTTTGTTTCTGTAGATTCTGCTGCTGGCCTTAGAATAAATCTTGTGATCATATTAATTACCTACTAAATACGGAGCATTAGAACTTAGAAGCTCAAGTTATGGAGAAATTTTTATTGTGGCAGTCACGTGATGTTGCCAATCCATGTGTTAAGATATGAGTGGGTGACGGGGTTGATATATTAGGGGACTAGGGCATAGTGTTGGGTAAACAATTAGAGTGGTAAAACATTGGTAACATGTGGGGGTATGACGGTCACACTGAAAACCTCCACCAAATGTGACCCAACATTTTTTCTTTTATTGTCGAACAGTAAAGTTGATATTCATGGTAATCCTTACTTTATCTGTCAAGCATATCATGGTGGTTATCAATATCATGCTGTTTTTTTTTGGGTACCTAATTAGTTAATTTCTGCTTCAGGAGGAATATGATACTCATGACCCCAAGGGGCATTCTTCGGCCATATTGCCTTTTCTGATGAAAAGGACAAAGGTCATTGAGATAGTTGCCGCACGTGACATCGTCTTTGCTCTTGCACACTCTGGTGTTTGCGCAGCTTTTAGTAGAGGTAATAACATGCCGAACGGTATTGAATATTGTACTGACCAAATGCAGAACTTTATATTCCGTATTTCCAGTCTAGTAAATATTACAATAGGTTAGGTTAGTCAATTTGAATGATAAATCACAACAATTGAAGGAGGAGATACGCATTTTAAATAGAAGAAGATCCAATATATAATAATTGGACTTAAAATGACTAGAAAAGTAGAAACAAGACTGGGTGACCAAGCATTAAGACCCAATCGTGGGTGAATGGAATCTTACTTATTCCCAGTTGGCTATTCATATTGCAGAGAAAAACGAGAGGATTTGTTTCATGAATGTTAGTCCTGATGAAGTCATTCGGAGCTTGTTCTATAATAAGAACAACGATTCGCTCATCACAGTTTCGGTTTATGCATCAGACAACTTCAGCTCTTTGAAATGCAGATCCACAAGGATTGAGTGGGTAGATTGAACTCAATATTTATGTGTAGCTTTTTCATTGCCTTCATTGGTTATCTGTTTCTTATGTTCTGTTATTGTTTATTCTTTGGCTAGATATATAAGGAGGGGACAGCCAGAAGCTGGCTTTGCTCTTTTCGAGTCTGAGTCTTTGAAGTGGCCTGGGTTTGTAGAGTTTGATGATGTTAATGGCAAGGTGCTGACATACTCAGCACAGGATAGGTATGTTTTCATTGTGTAACATTTCTAATATACAATTACCAAATCCATTAGGATACTAACGGACATCCCTTTTTTGTGGTACTGGGCAGTATATACAAGGTGTTTGACCTTAAAAACTATACCATGCTGTACTCTATATCAGACAAACATGTACAAGAAATCAAAATCAGGTATGTCTCTTTCTTGTTCCCTACCCCTCTTGAAACGGTTGTGCTTACTTTGCATAGTTTGTTGACCAATAATGATGCTTAAGTTCTTAAAACAATTCTTCTATATTCACTGTACCCCATAATTTCTGTTGTTTGTAACAGTCCAGGCATCATGCTGTTGATTTATAACAGAGCTACTAGCCATGTTCCTCTGAAGATTCTATCAATAGAAGATGGCACAGTTCTCAAAGACTTCAATCATCTACTTCATAGAAATAAGAAGGTGGACTTCATAGAACAGTTCAATGAAAAGCTTCTCGTCAAGCAAGAAAATGAGAACCTTCAGATTCTGGATGTAAGTAAATATAGCAATTATGTCAACAGTTCTTTTGCACCCTTGATTATTCATGCCTAATCAACTTCTGCAGGTTCGAAATGCTGAGATGATGGAAGTTAACAGAACAGACTTCATAACTCCATCAGCATTTATTTTTCTGTATGAGAACCAGTTATTCCTGACGTTCAGAAATCGACTGGTGTCTGTGTGGAACTTTCGTGGAGAACTTGTAACTGCATTTGAGGATCACTTGTTATGGCATCCTGACTGCAATACCAATAACATTTATATAACAAGCGATCAGGATCTTATCATATCTTACTGCAAGGCTGATTCTGATGATCATTGGTCAGAAGCAAATGGTATCTCTTTCCACTTCCTTTTCAGTTTTTTGTACAACTAGTGATTTTAGAGTTCTTGGCTGGGCTCAGAACTATCTTGCTTAATGATCATGTGTGTCCACTGTCTAGATAGTAACAAATATAACGGAATTATACATTGTAAACTAGAACATCCTTTTCATGTCTAATTTTTTGAAGTTATGCACAGTGTTGGCCTTGTTCTCTTCCTGCTTATGAAGTTAAAGCACCGTGAAACCTGAAAATCAAAACTTAATTTGGTTTATTTTCAAATGGACATAAAAACACTGTAACTTGATATTCTGTGCAACTATAATGAACTTCTTTACCTTATGTTTCCCTCGAGCAACTGTCCCTGGCATCTTTCTAGTAAATACAGACGTCTGTACACACGGCTCATAGATCAAAAGATGATGGTTGACATTTTCTAACAGCATAAGTTTGTTCATTTGATATGCTGAGCTGGTTGTTTTCATGAATGCTAACAGTTGTTGGAAGTCATACCCGTCCTTGCATGTTCCAATCTCTCCATAAAGCAAGAACTTAGTAATCACTTTGGTTACTTGTGATGACTAAGCATTGATGTTATGAAAAAAGTTAGGAGGATATTATTTTGTCATCTCATATATGGTTGTTTTTTCGCAGCTGGATCTATTCATATTAGCAATATCTTAACCGGAAAATGCCTGGCCAAAATAAATCCAAGCAATGGTGGTCCCAAGGTCGACAACTGTGAAGGCAACGCTGGCTCCTCAAGGAAGCAAAGCAACTCATCAGTGGTGAGCAGCACCGTCGTTGATGCTTTGAAAGACGTAACTGCTCTCTTCTATGATGAAGATCGCAACGAGATATATACAGGAAATAGGCATGGTTTTGTTCATGTGTGGTCAAACTGAAGTTCAGGTTATCTTTTAGCTTTCAAGGGCTATGAAGCTGCTGTTAGAGAAATAGTCTAGTTTGGCAGCCTAGCTTGTTAGTGGATATGGGATATTGTCAGTGGCTTTGTATCATTAGATTTCTTGAAAGTGCTCTCGCATTGTATCATAAAATGATTTCAAATTGCTAATGTAGATTTCAATAGAACTGGATTTTTGGTTTTGTAAAAAATGTTTACATGTAAGTCCTGTATTTCTTTCAACATGTGAGGTATGTTACTGTCACTTCAAAAGGGAATTGTTTGCTACACTTTCAAAAAAATTCAAGGGAATGGTTACCAACACTCCTAAAAAATTCATCATGCACTGTTTTTTTCTTGGATAAATATCAGTTTACTACTCTCATGTTTCGTGGTTTTCAACATTTAGTACATCAAGTTTTTTTTATTCTCAGAGTCATACCTAAAGTGTAAATTTTGGGACAGTTTTATACATCTGTTAGTCAAACTGTAAAGTCTCCCATTAAGTGATGGCATGGCGCTCATGTGGACAATGAATGGGCGCTATGTGTGGAATTTTTTTTTCTTCTTATTTTCAAAGAAGGGGTTTAGTTAAAAAAAATAAAAAATAAAAAAAAATAAAAAAATTCAAAATTCAAAATTCAGAGAAGGGGGACAGTTAAAAGTGAAAAGTGAAAACCATTTCACTCCCCTAGAAATCGCGATCCCCCATCTTCGTTTGAAACCTTACCAATGCGTTGTCACTCTACCTCGCCGTCGCTCGACCTTGCACGCAGTTGTACGTTGCACACACCTTTGCACATCAAAGAAGGGGCACCGTTTCTGGGCAAGGTTGTTGTGAAGCCATCGCTAGCGATGGGGTGGGAAAAAAGGAGGATTGAAATAGCTGAAACACGGGTTTATTGTAAGTAACCTACCTTTTTTGAAGTGTAGATAATATGGGTTTAGGTTTTTCGATTTTTCAATTTTGAATTTTAGGGATTAGGGATTTGTGAGTACCAATTCCATTTTTTTCTCTATGGTTTATGGAATTGTGTTTTGTAGTGGGTTTTCTGCATTGTTAATTGTTTTCAATGTGCACGTGGTTTTGTCTTCATTCGTGCTCCCAATTACAGCCTTTAAAAAACCCTGTATTCATGGTCCCTAGTTCCCTATTGCAGCCTTTAAAAAACCTTGTCTTCATTCGTCTTACTAGTATTTTGGGTTAACGTTTTGGGTTTTAAAACCTTTTTCCTTGACTTCGCAGGTATGCCTGAATTATTTAGCCTTAAAATTAACCACGGTGGGAAGTAGTCTGAAAATGCATATACGGGAGGGTTCGAGGCTTGGTTTGATTACGTAGACAAAGACTTCATGTCTTTTTTCGAGATTGATGAAATGGTTAAGGAGTTAGGATATGATGGGTTTATATTGTATCACTATAGGATTCTTAGGATGTCTTATAGGGAGGGATTAAGGCTTATTGAAGGGGACCAAGATGTGGGTGAAATGTGCAAGTATGTTCCAAGGACTAGGGAAATAGAAATCTACCTAGAACATCTAAGTCCGAAGCAAGCTGCCTTGAAACATAAGCTTTTGATGAATCTAGATGAGAGTGGCATTTTAAAAAAAGGTGTCATTATAGAAGATATTGAGGAATCGAGGGTGGCGATTTCGATTACAAAGGGAAGTGGATCAAAACTGAAGAAGGGTAAAGCAAAATGGGGTGCTGATCACTTAGCAAAACGACTATGTCTTTTGAATGGCATAGCCTACAATGGTGATGATGAACATGAGGCTGAAGATGGTTCTCTCAATGCTGATAATGAAGGTGATGAAGATGACGAAGGTGATGAAATTGAAGAAGGTCACGAAACTGAAGAAGTTAATGAAGGGGCCGAAGTAGAAGCTAATGAAGGTAAAATTTTTGAAACATTTATTTTTGCAATTTTAATTTCATTATTCAATTATTTTTGCAAAGTTTAGGTTTTTAACAAATATGCATTGTTTATGGCAGTAAATGCAAAGGATGACAGTACAGATAGTGAGTTTGTGGATAATGACTACAGTTTGGAAGATGATGATCGTTATGCAGTAGATGATACAGTTGTAGAAAGTGTCATTGGAGATGCTGAATAGGGTGAAGGGGTTGGGAACCAACATCTAGAAGATGTTATTGATGCAAGGGATGTAGAAGACGTTCCCCTGGAGGATAAGAGCCAAGACTTAGATGGCCTACACAGTGTGGACGATTCAGGTTCAGAATATGATGAGAAGGTCATCTACCCTAAGTTCAATGAAGAAACCAACATGGACGATCCAAAGTTTGAAAATGGATTGAAGTTCAGAGATGCTGCACAGTTGAGAGAGACAGTGTGGTCTCACTCCATTAAGCATGGTGCACCTTCTATTAAGCTAAAAAGGAATGAGAAATGGAAGATTAGTGCAAGGTGTGAGAAAAATTGTCAATGGAGATTGTATGCTTCCAGGATGTACAATGAAGATTCAATGCAAGTGAAAACCTATGTTGGGAAACATGAATGTTCGAGGATTTAGAGAGAAAATCCTAACTGCAAAATGGCATGGCTTGTGAAGAGAAATGTGGACAAGTTCAGACTCAACCCAAACATGCCCATCACTGCATTTTTTGAGACAGTGAAAGAGGAAAGAATGGTTTAGATCCACCTCAAGACAACCTACAGAGTGAGAGCTCAGTGTTTGAAAATCCTTGAGGGGAGTAACGTGGATCAGTACACAAAGTTGTGGGAGTACTGTGGTGAGCTTAGGAGGACAAACTCGGGTAGTACAGTTCAGATGAAGGTGTTGCCCTATGATGATGCTCATGTGATATTTCAGAGGATTTATATTTGATTGGGGGCTTGCAAAAATGGATTTAAGAATGGATGTAGGCAGCTTGTAGGGTTGGATGGTTGTCACTTGAAGGGAGTGTTCAAAGGCTAGTTACTGTCTGCGGTGTGAATGGATGCAAATAACCAAACTTGGGTTATTGCATATGCCATAGTAGAGTTCGAGAACAATGACAGTTAGGTTTGGTTTTTGGAACTGCTAGCTGCTGACTTGGAAATTGTGAACCAGCGTGCTTGGACTTTCATTTCTGACAAACAAAAAGCTTTAATACCAGCTTTTGAGACTGTGCTACCTAATTGTAATCGTTGGTTATGTGTTAGGCACTTATACACCAACTACAAGGCAGATGGGTTTAAAGGGAAAAGATTAAAGGATGCTTTGTGGAATGCTGCCAAGGCAACAACCATCGCTGATTTTAGAGAAAGTATGGCTGAGGTGAATAAGTTGAATGTCGAAGCTTATAAATGGTTGGTGAAGAGACCAACCTTGCATTGGAGTAGGTCACATTTTGAGACACACACTCAGTGTGACATTCTCTTAAACAACCTATGTGAAAGCTTCAATTCTTTTATCCTAAGGTCTAGGGACAAGCCTATTATTACCATGCTGGAAACCATAAGAGTTTTATTGATGAAGATGGTATGGTTGAGAAGAGATGCAATGAGGAAGGATAAATGAGCTATTTCCCAAAAATCCAGAAGAAGTTGGAGGAGTACAAACTGAAAAGCTCACACACTATAGCTACATGGTTTGGAGGAGAAAAATTTGAAGTGGATGAAGGCAGAGGCAATATATTTGTGGTGGATTTGAATGGGTGCACTTGCTCATGCAGAAGATGGGATTTGATAAGCTTTCCTTGCATACATGGTTGCTCGGCCATCTATTATGCAAGGAGATAGCCTGAAGAATTTGTTTCCTCTTGGTACAAGAAGGAGAAGTACTTTAAAGATTATGAAAACTTGATTCAACCCGTCCAAGGTATGAAATTTTGGGAGCCAGCTGAAAACAAATGCATTCTTCCTCCAACTTTTAAAAGGCAGCCTGAGAGACCAAAAAAGAGGAGACTTAGGGATGGTGATGAAAATGAATTCAAGTTAAGCAAGAGAGGGCAAAAAAGTGTGAAGTGTAGGGTTTGCAAGGTCTCTGGACACAACAAGGCCAGATGCCCAACCACTCATCCTCCTCCAGCTGCTAGAAAAGGAAGAAAAAGCAAGAAAAATGAGGTATACTTTTGATATTTTTTGTTGATTTTTTATTTCTTAAGTGAATTTGTTATTTGTGAAGTGCAGTATATGTCAGTGCTAATGCTATATGGGTTCATTACTTAGGCCTCAACATCTAAGGCATCACAACCCTCTTAGACATCACAACCATGCACTCAGGAAGCTTCACAACCTGCATCTCAACCAACTCAAGCCTCTCAAACCACTTGAAAGTCTATTGTAAGAGGTCAGAAAAGGAGGAGGAATAATCCATAATGCTGCTTTAATGCTTTAGGTTGTTTAAAGTTTCATTTTGTTATAGTTGAATATGCCCTTAGTTTTTTTTTTAAACAACTTTCCGATAGATGTTTAGTGTTTTGGATAGATCTTTGGAATTTCTGGTACTCTTTTTTTGGTTTTTGGAGAACACTTTGACTCGTTAGTTGTTAAAATTGTGGTCTTTTGATACTTTAGTGTGAATTAGAGGGTGTATATTGAACTTTGTTGTGAATTGAAAGTTGTTGACAATTGAACTTTGTTGTGAACCCTTGAAACTTTGTTGGTAGTTGGTAATTTAAATGATGAATTTGCAGATTTAGAATTCAAAGTTTGTTTGGAATTGAATTTGTAGATTTGGAATAGAAAGTTGTGGTTTTTTTCCCTATTTAATTTGATTTTTTTTTCAAAAATGAACCCCTCCTTTGAAGAGAAGTAAGAAAGAAGAAGAAAAGGAAAAAAAATCCACGTGGACTCCTTAATGACACGTGGCACTCAGTCATTGTCCACAAGAGAGCCACGTCATCACTTAACGGGAGACTTAACAGTTTGACTAACGGATGTATGAGACTGTCCCAAAATTTACACTTTAGGTATGACTTTATGATGAAAAAAATTTGATGTACTAAATATTGAAAACCACGAAATATGAGGGTAGTAAACTGAGATTTACCCTTTTTTCTTTATTCTTTTATTATCGAAGAGAGTATGAAGACAGTATGATGATTTTTTTGACGTGTCATTAAGAATTCTCCTTATCTATTGTGAAATTACATTTTTATGGATTGTTAACCATGAACGTCTAAAATGTCAGCTTACCATTTTTATGTTAAATAGGTTATGTTTGCTTACGTCGGTTAAACTCTTTACTAGAAATTTTAGTCTCGCGACAATTAAGGCGATCTAGGCTAGCAACGATATAGGTAAAGCTCTTAGCGATTTAGGCTCTCAAGTTTGGATCTGAT